TTTTAAAAAATTGTGAGAAGAGTAGCAGTACTGTACATTTTGACAAATCTTTTTAATGTCTTGCCTAATAAAAGGCAGCTGGATTCACACAAATGCTTCCACATTCTATTACACATCATATAGCCTTTGGGAAACTCCACTGTACACTTAGGAGTGAATTAAAGTTAAAAAGGCAAATAATGTCTTCACATTATTATGAATATAGTTTGACCTTGTGTGTCCCCTGAAGGGATTTCGCCGACTCCTAGAGGGCCTCAGCTCACTCTCCGTGAACCATTGATTTAAATAATTGTCATGTGATCAGAGAAGCACTTTGATTGATTCAATAAGTATTTATTGAGTCTTATTCCACACTAGGCATTTGCTCAAAGTGGTTAAATAACGCAAGTGCCTGTCCTCAGGTTGTTCACAGACAAGGATAAAAAGATGAAGGAAAGCCAGAGTTGACATTTGAGCTGAGATTTAAGAGACAAAGGGCAGGTGATGTAGAGATCTGAGGAAATAGATTCCCAAAGTAAGTGGGCCCTCCAAAGGCTCTGAGCCCAGTCTGGCTGGAATGTAGCCCAGAGGAGGGAGGGCGGCTGGAGGTTGGAGAGGTGGGCAGGGGCAAAACGAGAGGGGCCCAAGTAAGGAATTTGAAATTTTAAGTCTAAATTTCTAGACCGTGCGAAGAAATGGTGGGAAGAGTGGAAAGGCTAAAGGACGTCTGCGTGAAGGCAAGGAAGGTCGCCCCAAGGTCAAGTGACACTCTCCTGGGTCCGAGCGGCTCTGCCGCTCGAGAGTCGCTGCCAAACCCCTGCTTCCGGGCTCAAATCGGCTTACAACACGAGAGGGCTGGGGCCCACGCGCCCGGCGTCTCGGGGAAGCTTGGGTCTCGGCGCTCGCCGTACCCGCCCAGACAGAGGCGGGGCCGGTTGCCTTGGAGCCCGCGAGACGCAGGGGCCGCCTCAGCGGTGCGGAGCGCCGGCCGCGGGCTTCCGTCACCATGTCGGTGCTGGACGCGCTTTGGGAGGACCGGGATGTCCGCTTCGACGTGTCCTCTCAGTGAGTCTCCAAAGGTTTCCCAGGGGCCTGCAGCCCGTAAAGGGCCCCGTGGTGCGGGTTCGGGACCCGTAGGGGGAGCCTGTACCCCCGTAGCTCATGTCCCTGGCCAGGGTGGGAAGAGGTTTGCTCCAGTCTTCTGGCCTCGGGTGACCTCAGACTGGCGGGGCCTCTGCGGCCTTCCGGAGGCCCGCGCCACGGCACGAACACGTCTAGATTACACCGTTTGGACCCGGTGCTGTCTTCTGCCCCATCCTGGCCGGAGGGACCTCACTGGAACGTGAAAGTGAACATGGCCCGGACCAATCTGGCTGGAGAGTCCAGTACGCCAAGTGGGGCTGGGATTTCAGTTTCGTGTAGTGGAAGGAACGTAGAGAGGGGACTCAGGCAACTAGGGTTCTAAAACGAGGTCTAGAATAATGGCCTCCTTTGTGGGCCCTTGGACAAAGGACTTCATCATTCTAAACTCGAGTCTTATCATCTGTAAAACGAGGGAGATGGTAGTAAGCAGTCTTCAAACTTCCTAACCATACAGACTTTATGTTCATAGTAAGTTATTCACCTAAATCGCCAAAAAGGAGGGGATCTCTTTTGGAACCTCTCAAACAGAAGCTATATTTTTGAAAAATATGGTTAGAAACCTCCTGCCCAAAAATCTAAGGGGAGAAATGGCCTATTAGGGTATGAAGTGTAGAAAATGTTAGAGGTAAGGTTCATGGATTAATGGGATGGAACTTCTTAGCCACTTCTTACGTTCCTTATCATGGACATTACCTCCTTAGATGGAAAAAATGAAATATTGAGGCATCTCCCAGGCTTAGTTGTGGCTGGTTCTAATACTAAAATGATATTAAATCTTTTAAGAAGTTAGGGAAAGGAGTTTGTAAAATTACAAACCATAGTTATTACATACATTCTAGCCTTTTAAAAATCATTCTTGGAGATTTTTTAATCCAAACAAAAGTCCATTTCATGAACATGTTTAATTCATTAAATATTTATCAGCTGTTTACTATGTGCTAGTTTCTATGCTGATAGCTAGAGAAACAAAAATACAGTAGATTCTGTACTGTACAGAATTTTCATAGACCGGACATGTACCACATGTACGTATCAGTACAGTAGGCCTGGTTTCTTATGTTGACCACCTCTATATGTTGACCAGTTTGTTACACTCTCTTGAGTGGTCAACTTACAGAGGTTCTGCCGTAATAGGAAGTGATATTTGTACCTCCTCCTATTCTAGTGTAGGAGAGATACAGTAGACAATCCTACTATACATGAGGTAAGTACCACTCCAAAAAAATGAACACAAAGTTGGAGACCATAGAAACAGAACAGTTTATTCTGCTTGGGGAACCCCTCAAAGAAATAATATTTGAGTTGGTCCCTGAAGGATGGACATGACTTTGTCAGGGTAGACAGGAGGAGAGTGTTCCAGGAGAAAAACAAAGGGCCGGGCACCTGTAGCTCAGTCGTTAGAGCTCTGGCCCCAGGCACCAGGGCTGGTGAGTTAGAACCTGGCCCAAGCCTGCTAAACAATAAAGAAAAAAGAAAGAATTAAACACACATTAGAAGCAGAATCAGGGAGATAAAACTTCATTGGCTAGAAGGCAATCTGTGGCAGGGAGAAGTTGAAGATACAAATAGGAAGATACATTAACCAGATTGTGACGTTTTCAGCTGAGGATTTTAGACTTCACCTTCTAGGTAGAGGGATGTCATGGAAGGCTTTTAAGCAGGGAAATATGGTCACATCTGTATTTTCAATAGGTAATTGAGTTGGCTCTGTGGAGAATGTATTAGAAGGCTCTAACAGATACTATATTGCTAGTTGTTTTTTTTTTTTAATTGTTGCAGTTTGGCCGGAGCTCGGTTTGAACCTGCCACCCTCGGTATGTGGGGCTGGTGCCCTACTCACTGAGCTGTAGGTGCCACCCTAGTTTGTTTTTTATTTTTTTCCCCGACACTATAGAATGTATTCTATTGGTCAGCAAGCCATTCTTCATTCTTTACTTTCTTTGTCTCATGTATCTATTTGCCAGGTGCGGAAAATACTTTTAAAGTAACTCTTCTTTAACCTTCCCAGCCATAACTGGCTGATGCCTTTTCCTCTGAGGTTCCCCACTGTCCATAGGATGAGGACTGTCCTATCAGATGGGCATTCAAGGTTCTCTATAATTTGGCTCCTCCTTAGTTATCCAGCAGGATTTCTCTCGTTTCCTCAATATGGACCTTCTTCCCTAGTCTTCTCACATGCCCTTTTCATTTCTTATTCCTGGTCTTTAATCATGGTGTCTTGTCTCTTTCCCCTTTACTTCCCCAAATCCTACCCCTCCTTCTAGTCTGGCTTACTGCAAGTGGCTGTGGTTACTCCAGGCCCCACTGATCTCTAGATTCTTGAGATTCGTGAAGACCTTATTTTTAAATGTGTAAGCATAATTTATACTGTTGGCTGTTATAGCTTAAAATTAAAACTTTTTTTTTTTTATTTTAGGCAAATGAAAACAAGACCTGGAGAAGTCCTTATTGATTGTTTAGATTCAATTGAAGACACCAAAGGAAATAATGGGGATAGAGGTGACTGTATTTTTTTAATGCATTACATATTTTGGTTTGATTTACAAATGTTGAATCATATTAGCTGGAGAATATATGAAACAGTATCGTATGTAAATATAATTGTGAGAATGGGAAGGTTAAAGCCACAGAAGACTTTCTCAGACTTAAACAGAAGAAACGATAGATATTGAGCCTGTAGCCAGGGAACACAGGCCCTCCTTCAGTTTTGGTCCTTCAGTAAGTCCTCATTCTAACATCATCTTTATCCAGTGTGTCTTTTAAAATTCCAGGAATTGGATGGGCATGGTGGCTCATGCTTATAATCCCAGCACTTTGGGAGGCGGAGACAGGAGGATTACTTGCAGTCAAGAGTTTGAAACTAGCTTGAGCAACATAGTGAGACCCCAGTTTCTGGGGGGAAAAACCTCACTCTAGGTGTCCTGTTTGTAAGAAGCCTGGAATAGTTCTGTTCCTTGAATCTCTCA